TAACTTATAGAGTGAGAATTTAAGCATCAGAAATTTCAAACACTGAAATTTAAGAAAAAAAAGAAAAATTTGAAATACTATCTTCTCTCAAAAAAAAAAGGAAAAGAAAACAAACTCTTGTTACAATAATAATTATTATTTATATGTCAAGCATAGAAAAATTTTATTTGATTGCAAATTTGACATTCTTAGTTTCAATTATTGATTGAATCTTATAATTAGAATAAATGACTATTAAAGATTGAAATAAAAAAATAAAAAAAAAAAAAAATATATATATATATGTACAATTAAATTGATTGATTTCTTCATATAATGAATTTTTTTCTATGTTGTTTCATTGTGCTGTTAGACATTGACTGATAACTTGTATCAATATGCATAACAATGTAGTGTACCGTGTAATTGTATATGCCGTTTTCTTCTTACAACATTATCAATCTTTCTTGAGTTGACCTTCAGAAAAGTAGGGCTGCTTACTTGCTTGCATGCTTTGTCTAACAGGCATACACTTGTTTGTTTCGTCAGTTCTTTATATAGCAGCTGTAAACGTTAATAGGATATGCAATGATGATGTTGATGGCCAAGACAAGAATAACAACAGCTAACAATCAATGACAACATCAACTTGTCTTAAGACAAAAATCTTCTAAATATTACTTATGGTTTGTTATTTCATATTATTAACCATACTCAATACGTTAAATTAATAAAGTACAAGTGAAAAAAAAACCAAAGTTCTATGTTAAAATTGATAGCTCTCATTTTTCAATAGGCAAAACGCACCTGTTCGATCGTTTCTCTTTTCAATATAACAGAGGAAAAAAAAACAAGGAGAAACTTTTTTTTGTCAGTTCTTCTTGTTCTCATCTTTCTCTCCTATCGTATTGATGAAAAATATACATAAAAAAAGAAATAGTCAGTACCGTGCCAATCCATTGCAACGATCCGTATAGTATAGATTTACAAAAAAAAAACCGCATTATGTCTCGATTTAAATCTTATATCAATCCACCATCTTTCAATACGAACCAAAATGAACAAAATATATCAAATGATTCAACAACATTACCACCACTACGACATATAACACAAGTAATAAATTATGTAAATATTATTATTTGTTTTTTCCTATTGTTTT